ATTTATGTTAACATTCGCTTCTGCTAGCCGAGCTCGTTCTTCGCACATCGCGTGAGGTTGGCAGAGAATGTGGGGTAGCGCGTTTACCGGCAGCTCACCTAGACAAGAATAATTTTCGATGATCCTGTACAAGGTCAATTATCGTAAATCGGGAAGAACGACAGTGACGAACACGGAAGTCTCGGGACTCCCGACCGAATCGAAAGCGGAACCTCCTTCCCCGAAGAACTGGAATCTCTGGGCTTGGACACCGATTGAGAGTCCACACCCGCTCGCTCCGGAGATTTCTCGAATCTACAGGAGGCCGGTCTCCTCGGAAACCGCGATATGAGTGACGATAGCATCGCTGCTGCTGGTGAGTTGTCGGAGAAAGTCCCGAAAAAAATGAAAGACCTTAAAAATGCGGAACTACCCGAGAAGCTTCTCGGAAACTACTTTCGCCGCTACCGCTTGAAATAGGAAGGGATACCCACAAGGCAGTCGAAAGCCGCTTCCCCAGACGCGACGACCCTGAACTCGGCTGAACAATTAATAATCCAACAAACGGTCGGCGGAGCGAGTTCACTAAAAACGAGACACCAGCGCGAAAAACCGCCAAACTTGGCTCGAGCGCCGGTGCCGGAGGACTGGGGGAGCGCAGCCAGCAGCCGATCTCCCGCTCGCGAACGTCATCTCGGCAGACACGGCCTGCCACAGATAGAGGTGGGATTCCCCTGGATCAATCATCCCGGTCCCGTTTCCGGAATCCTTCAACACCTCTTCAAGAAGAAATGGATTACTGTCGGGATAGAGAAGCCTTTCACGAGTCGACTCTGCGACACTCCTTGTGCAGTATACCCTGCATGACACCATTCGCACCCCAAGAAGTCCCGATCACAGCCGAATCAACGCAAACCTATCCCCTCTCGAGAAAATATCCGATACGTCCGACTCATCTTCGGCCTCCTGCAAGCGAATCGACGACAAGCGCGATCTTCCGACCCCTGGCGGATTCCGCGAGAGTCGGCTTCCGTATGAAAACGCTTGGGCTGCCTTGTGAGCCCGCCGAACCCGATGCCCATCGCCTCGGGGGAAAGTGGCCGCCTCCGAAGCAATAACGACGAGTAGCTTTTTACATTATTCAACGCTAATTGTTTTTCTTTTCTTAGCTTTATCTTCACCGAGAGAAACTGTGTAGTAGAATGTACTATAGTCCCCACTGCCGCCGTCGCCGACAACGACGACGACCAAGATGACAGCCTAGACATCACAACTTAATAGTATTCCATTGTTCGCTAATGATCCGGTGGGCTCGGGTTACGCTGGGCACACGACGGCCAGGCATACACTCACGAGCAAGCCGACCGTAAGGTAGCCTAACCGGCATGCTCTCCCAGCCCGGAGTCCGACGGACAGACTCGTTCACTTTTGAAAATTCGAACAATCCACATCTTTGAAGAAATTCCTCGCTGGCCGATTTTCAGGAACTATATGTAGGAAATTTTTCCTCTCGTCAAACAACGCATGAAAGATTCCCTCTGCCAAATGTCAACAGACTCCCACGCTGAGAGGCTGACTGACGCCAGACTATTCTAGTAAAGCAAGGCACCACAAAGTCAAGCCGAGATTCCTGAAGTCGAACACAGCAACCGACAGGCGCTCATAGGGTCCGTTTCCGAGTCGGAGCTACTTGTTGCGATGCACTTGTTCGACTTCTTGCCCTCTCGGCTTTTGGGGGACGAGCTCTGGATGAAGAGCGAAACAAGGAAATACTCGAGAAGAGGGTGCTCGAGAAGCTATGTGGGACCCAAAGAGGCTAGAAACGAGTCCAACGAAAAGCGACGCCCCCCGATGATCAGTAATGTTTTGTCTCGATGTCAATGAATGAGAGAGCTAGCGGACGGCCAGCTCGCTCGCTGCTCGTAGCGGTTTGTGTCAAGTCATAACATGACGACGAGTCAGACAAGGGCCGATGCCGACGCTGCAGCCGATGCCATTGCTGGTTAGAGAAGTATTTTGGTGAAAAATTGTCCCGCTTCCATTTTTAACAATGCTTGTTAACGGAGGCCTCGTTCGAAACCGACTAGCGAGTGAGCGTCGGCCGACTGGCGATGATCTTGTTTTGTCAAAACCACGACGGATGGGAGCTAGTGGCCTCTCTTCTTTCTACGACAGGATTTTTTTTTCGTTGCAAAAAGACAGTGTAACATCACGGCTGAGCTTTAGAGCTTCCCGACTTCTCTCTCCATTTATAAAGGGAGCTCGTCGGCGATCGTCACGCGAGTCCTCGGATCGCGGGTGCGGAGAACTCACGCGCGCAGGAGGGACACCCGGCGTATTGTTCTCCACCTTCAAATGGGAGGAAGGATTCCTTCGAGCTCCATCTGTAGCTCCGATCACCACTTACTTCGTCTCGACGTCGGTCCGGTATTGGAGAAAAATCGATCGATCGATTGGCGGGGCGGGAAAACTTCCTGATGGAAATATTTTGTGCAGTTTTCACCTCTAGGTGTGACGACGTGGTGGAAGAAAAGACTGCTCATCTTCGTTCGGTCACCGAACGATGGTCGAGTGGTCGGTCGTTGTGCGCCCGAAGCTTGCCTGAATTCGGACGGAAATCGACGTCGCCATCTTTCACAAGGCGGACGGGCAGGCACACTCCGCAGAGCACGATCTGTTGTACCGCGGCTAAGTCTTCTTCTTGATCTCCTTCCCGGGTCGGTGTGTGCCGCTTTATCCCTCCACCGCTTGTTCGCTCAACTACGACGACGTCGATGAGGACTCGTCCTGTGGAATCATTAAATTCTATTATGTGTTCTCTTCGCTGGTCCGCAGGCGGTGGGCTTGATTTTTCGCTAATCGGTGAAAATATGATTGATTTTACTCGACGGCGAGAGAGAGAGCTGACTGGCAGACAAGCGAGCGAGCTGGTTAGCTAGCCGGCCTGTTGCTGTGTCACGATATCAGTGAAGATCCTGCCGCTGAGATGAATATATATTAAATAATATTCCATAAGTGCACAGAATGCTCCCGCCACCCGCCATTATCGGAAATTAGGCCCTCAGCAACGGCGCCGTCTTTCATCCGCGGCCGGGTCAAACGTCTCGAAAAGAATTTCGTGTGCGCGTGTGTATGAGCGAGTGAATGTGTGCATCTTCTGTTCAAACAAGCGCTCTTTCGCGAAGCATAGCACCGATACGACATTCGAGAGCGGCTTCCCGAGAGACGAAGAATTGAATATGTTTTGAAGAAATTCGTCCGACCCACGCGAAAAATGAATCATTATTGTACCTATGCAGTTTAGCTGATGCATTGGATTGAGCACGGAACCCACACCCAGCCAGAGAGCCTGATAGCTGCCTTCCGGCCCGTTTTTTTCTCGAATCGGGATCGAATCTGGCGGGATTGTAACCCGGGGAATCACGGACAGATTGTGAGACGTCCGCTCTTGAGGGAGGAAACGATCAAATATTTTCAAGAGAATCGGGGAAGAGTTCCGATAATGAAGACAGATCTAACCGTTTGCACGATCCCATGAATCGCATACGGGAAGAGCTCGCCATCAATTTTCAATAACGCATGCAAATAACTTGCGATCCGGTCGTGTCTGACTTGCTGGACCCAGATAGTTGATAAATAAAATCCCCCGGCTACACTGTCGAGTCGACAACTCAATTTGAGCCGACTAGAAGACCCACTCGCCGAAATTACGTTAAATTAGGGTCTAGAAATCATTGACTGCGAAGTCCTCTGCTTTCTCCGGCACTTCTTCAGTCACTCGACCCGCGGAATCTCTTCTCACGCGAGGAGGGATACTTTTCGATTAGCATTCATGAATCGGGTGCATTATCGAAGCTAGGCGATGCAGAAATTGATACGAAGAAAAGTATCCATCGCTCTGGGTTTCAGAAGTCAAATTGAAATTTTCACATCTGAAAATCTAAAGGGTCCCGGATCCTTTGACCGTAGCAGGCTTCGACAAAAGAATGATAGCTGGCTACGGAGCGCCCTGTAACTCACAGGGGTCGACCGCCTTTTTTCTGTTGTTGTATTTTCCTCGCTTGGCTTATTTATTTGTGAACTCTACGTCGGCCGCTAATGAAGTGAACACGCATTATCGAAGGTGCTGGATCTTTTTGTCCGATGTGCCGAAACGAAGGCTCGTCTTCTCTCCTCTCGAAGGGGAGGCATCTTTCGGCGTCCTTCTTACGGCACGGCGTGGCGGAGTTCGTTTCTCGTTGAATACTTTACTGTTTCAATTAGTCGGAGAAATCAACACCTCTCGACGACCGGGCTCATTCAGATCACAAACGTTGAAAGCGCACGCTCGGACGGCGTCCTGGTGGTCGTGCTAGTCTCAGGAATGGATCACCTTGCTCGTTGAAACCGGAATTCGTGATCTACCGTTGCCGCCGCCGCTGCCGTCTCACCAATGACAGGGCCACCTTTGCGGTGTATTACGAGTGTTTCTTCGGTTTCTGCTTCATCTACTTTTTTTTCCGTTTCTGTTGAGTCTCATGCCAGCGTAGTAGCACCGCATGCGACTGCGGCGGATGGGATCCAAAGCCCTACGCGAAAGCTCCGATGGTCGCTGAGGAACAGTGCAGAAGAACTGAAAGTCCGTTTGCACGTTACTGTCGATCTGTGGTTGGGCCAGAGGTCAACGAGCGGGCCAAGAGTATCACTCGATAAATCATGATCAATAAAATCATTCTGCTCATCATTAGGGATCATGAGCTTCAAATGTGGCGGCTCCCTTCTGGGTGGCCTGAACGCGACGCTCACTCACTCAGCATACGCCAAGATCCTAACTCCGGCTGAGATTTTCCTATTTTCCAATTGTTTTTCGCTTCCAAATAATTTGTGGGTGTCTCTCGACTTCGCCTCGTTCCTCCTTCGCCGCCCCCTCCCCCCTATCTCTTACCCCAGCTCTCGGGAGTATGGGAGCGGACCGCTTTGGTCGACTGTCTTCAGAGTGCCACGAGCTCTACTCGACGCTAACCTGAGGTGTTCTCTTGCAGCAGTAGTCCAATTCCTGGCGTCTCGAATGTCGACGACCCCTTGAATCTCTCGGCACTGTTCCCGTTCGCGTCTCCGATGGGGCCTCTGCTTTCGGCTCCATACAACAACCACCATCACCACCAGCACTCGACGTCTCCTGTAGGTTTCAATGCTAGTTCAATACTCTCGATCGCTTTCGGAGGCTTGTCCAAGAAAACAGAATCGTCATCGCCACCGGGATCGCGAGCCCTTTTGTTCGGCAAGGATTCGCCGAGCTTCTCCCACGCGTCGTCGATGAGCTCTTTCGAGAAGGAACAGGCCGACAGCTCGTCTTCCGAGTGTGGTGACGGATCTAAAGTCATTTCATCTGACCCGTTGCTCGGCGCTAAGGTCATAAGGACCGGGCGCGATACCGTCGATCGTAAGCAGCACATCAAGCGACCGATGAACGCTTTTATGGTTTGGGCCAAGGATGAGCGGAGGAAGATCCTCAAAGCGTGTCCCGACATGCACAATTCGAACATCTCGAAAATCCTGGGAGCCCGCTGGAAAGCAATGACCAACAGCGAGAAACAGCCGTACTACGAGGAGCAGTCCCGATTGTCCAAGCTGCACATGGAGAAGCATCCGGATTATCGATACCGACCACGACCGAAGCGGACGTGTATCGTCGATGGCAAGAAGCTCCGTATCTCCGAATACAAGACCCTGATGAAACAGCGTCGAGCGGAAGTTCAACACCTCGTCGGCGCATCGGGATCGACCGCAGACTCGCCGCCTCCACCCGCGATTTCCCCGACACTGACCCCGATCGGCGTGAGCGGCAGAACTTCCTCCGGGACCGCGACCCAACCCCTAGCCTGACTCGATGTAGCTACGTTTTAGCACTTGGTAAGTCGGGCAGATGCTGTTCATTCTCCTGTCCCGTCCGATTTCAAAGCGGCTGGGATTTCCTTCTCACGCCAGCGAGCGTGGAATTAGAGGGCATCGTATACAATAAATTCCTGATTCTCACGAAGTCGCTCTTTCAGCCTGATCTCTTGCTCATTTTGGGTCAACACCACGCCGATGCGGGAACTTCTACACAATCCACGAGGGCAGGTAAGGAATGTTTTAGATGCCAAGGGAAGGAAATTGTTGCTCTTGAAGCCTTCTCTTCTTCGTCGCTTAATAAGCACTTTGTTCTTAAGTTGAACAACAAACGATGAATCAGCTGATTGGCTTGTTTGACGTCGCGCTGCTCTCTCGCTGCTACCGTATAGCAGCTGTCCGGCTACGGTCGAGCGTCCGCCGATGTGGTGCTTTGCCACGCATGTCTCTCGAGGGCGAAATTTTCCGCAGTGTCCTCCTCTCCTGCTTCCTCGTTTGGGTATTCCGATGGAGAGGCTGCGGGGGCTTCGAAGGAGGTTTCGGAGGGGAAAAGCCCCGGGGACGCCCCGGAAGCCGTAGGTTCCCGAGCTTTTGAAGAGGGTCGTCTTAAAGGACCCTCGGAATAGTGCGCGGAAGACCTGACTGACGGAGAGTGACTGGATAGCTCTGACTGGTTGGCAATGTGAAGGAACGGTGATATTGTTATTGCGGAGTAGCCACTGTCAGTCTTCGGCTAATTCGTCGGCTGCCGACTGTCATGATCCTCTATGATTCTCATAATAGCTATTGACAGACAAACTGAGCCTCTGCACTCGCACATTCCGCGCATAGCTATCCGTAAGGCAAGGGTGTACGGCTCGATCGTCGTCGTCGCTCCCGCTTCTAAGGTAGCGTCACCTTTGGATCATCGGAGAGAGCTGAATCCCTCCTCCCTGTCAATTGTTTCGAAGCGTGCCTCGTGAGTCTCCTCGCTAAACGCTATGATTTGTCATGGAAGTCTGAAGAGGAATTATCTGAAATTCACCCGTCTCGCGTCATGCTCCTTCCGGGACGATGCTTCCGAGTTCAGCTTGTCACAACGTAGCTTCGCATCTGGCAGCGTCGAGGCGATTCCGAAATTCAGAAAATTCGGGCGTTTTTCGGCTCTGGGGGAAAGCTATGCGATGGGCTTCCGAGGCAGACTGCATTGTCTCTTGGATTAGGATCAGACGCGACTCGGCCGAATTATTGGAGCCATCAAAGACGCGATCGCATTTCTCAGCCCACAGTGGCGGCGGAACCTGTGTGATAGTGGTCGTTGTCGCCGTTGCCGACGCTTGTAGGACGACGATCATTCGACGGTTTTAGTAACAAGACGGAAGGAAGGCTAGCATCAAATCTGTTGTTCGGAAGGAATGTCCCGAGGAATGCAAAGATCCGATTGCCGACGACGACCGCCACAATTACGTCCAGTCGATGTTCGCTTCTGCCTTCAAAGGGTGCAGTCCGAAATGCGACAGTAGCGTTCTGGAGAATCGAAATAAGACGCAGAACGCACCGAGTCATTGATTTCTCTTCTCCCCTTGCAGGAACTTGTCACAGTCTTGCCGCTGGCCTGCGGCGCTCGCCCACATCGTTAGTTACAACACGTCAGGATCTCCTACGTGTCTCGTCGTGGAAAGACTCTGTATATAGTACGCGGTCGTGCGTTGATAGAAAATCGTGGCGGATCTTCCCCGTGCAAATGGGAATGATCTTCGGCGAAAGGGGATGAAGAGTCCCATCTCACTCGGTAGTTGATGGTCTCAGGAGATTCGTCAATTTTATCCGTCACTCGATGACCCACCTCTGTAGTGTATGCGATTTTAGGAATGAAGGGCTTAGAAAGCACGCTCCAGATAATTCTCTAGGAACAAACGTAGGGAGGCATTTAATATAAACTCGTACCGGGAGTAGATAGCGATAGCGAATACATCAATTACTATTATTTATTCGGAGCTGCAAGTCTGTGTTTGCGTGAGGAAAAAGATTTCGGAACGGTGACATTATGAGAACACTGATAATGGTATAATAAAAGAGGGATGTACTGGTGAACCTTGAACCTTCATTTCGTCGATGTTCCTATCTCAGTTCTCACGAAGAGCTGAATTGTAGCTGTTCCTCATCCGCGCTAGGGATCAAGGGAGACGTAGGATAGTCTCCGAAAAAAAGGAAAGAAGAAAAAGCAAACGGTTGGGAATCACAATCGATTCCCGATCCTATCCGAACGTGATCGATAGCTCTGGGGGGTTCCACATCCCGAAGTTTTCAGGCTCTCTAAGAATCACCGGAGCAGTCAATTTCGGACAGAGATTCCGTGGAACGAAATGCTTGATGGATTCTCTCCTCTCAGTTCCTGTCATTCCATATTTGACTGAAAGACATACGTTAGAAGTTCCGCATGAAACTGATCTAGACAGACCCACGGGCAGACAGACGAGATGAGATCCGCTCGTCGAGCAGACATCAAGAGAAACAGCACCGTATATTTCTTGGGACGAGAGCCGAATGATTACGCCTCGGCTATAATGGGATTCGGTCGGTCTAAAGTCGAAGTCTATTAATATTTTCAATAGATAAATTTAATAAGGAATTAAAAATGCCGTTGGCTAGCTCTACTGCGCGGCTCCGGCTCGCTCTCCCGCTATGTGGGTATCCCGTAGCCGACGTACTTGCTGCTGCTGCTGCCGCGGTGGCCGCCACGGTCATCGTAGATGCTGAACATCGTCACTCCGACCGACACAATCGCGAGAGTTCTCGCTCTAAATCTGCCAGAGGGCCGTGTGGGTACCCGAGGAGGAACCCAAGACAGTACTCTCGTGCCTCACGCTGGCCGTACCACGACTATCTCGTTCGGATATTCCACATGAAGAGCCCGGCTCCTTGGAACGAAGCGGAGAAAAACGACTCCGGATCGAAAGCTGACTAGGTAGGTCACCTTTCGGAGCGAGTGTCTCCCCTGAAGATCTTCTTCTATTGATGTTTCTTCGCGTCTTCTCTCGATGTCTTACCTTTCGGAGTTATCATCTTAATAAATGTATTACATGTTTCCCTCATCGTATCAAAGCTATCGCTCCTAACGCCGAAGATACCGGGCCGCGGATAGAGAAGAAGAGATAATGTTCTCCAGTGGAAGCGACCGCGGCCGTCGCGGTCGGTGTAGGACTCGCGTGCAATTCTTTTATCGCAGCAGCCAGCCGAGACAGTCGTCAGTCCCCAGCTAGGCAGCAGTTGCCCGTTAGACAAGCCAGTAAGAGCAGCAGTGAAGGGAAAGATCGAGGAATTATCATCCATATAAATGTCCATCGGCTCCTGTTCTATTATACGTAACGATGTGTCAAAGCCGGCAGCGTACACGTGAGCTGCTCGGTCGACGCTGCGCACCCGTTCGAAAGTTGCCACCAGCTAAACTTGACCTCGTTTCACCATTATTTTTTTTGCTTTTTGCTCTCTCTTGTTTCTACCAGACTGCGGAAGTCGCGTATTGCTCACCGAATCTCCGAGTCGCAATCCCCCGATTAAGGTCCTCGTAGTCGACCGATAAGTTGGTTGTTGCTGGGAAAACAATCTCAAGAAACAGTCTCTCCCAGTCATAAGTAATGAGGCAATAGAGAAGCAGACCCACGGGGAAGCCTCGTGTTCCCTGGATTCTAGTACACAATTCTCCACGAACCAATAACGCTAGCTATCGTCGGGAGTCAATGACAACGCCAAGTTTATAAGTATTGACTTTTTTTTGTTTTTGCTCCTTTTATTCTCCCGCACGTCATTCGATCGATTCATGTAGGATTTGGGTCTTTTTCCGTTGTTAATATTCTTATTATTGTGGGTTGTTCTGTTTTGAGAAGAACATTACATTGCTGTGTGTTGCACAATGGGGTTTTTTGATGAATCCCTCGATAAATGCTCCAATCATTCAATTATTCGATCCTAAAAGTCCTATTTCCATCCTCAAGAGGTCCGATGCTAGATAACCGGCTAGAAAGAGTCTTCATCGTTGCTCGCCCAGTATGCTTCTGACATACAATGCCGTGGTTTCGTGAGTTTTCTTTTTTCTCTCTGACAATGAATATGAATACATCTAAACATGACAACATTATTGTCTGAAGAGGATTCGTGAATACAATGATCGACATTGTCAACTGAGCCTCCCCATTGCTGTTGTCTTTGTGGTATTTCGCCCCCATCTCCGCGGAATGTACACAGAATAAATATGAGAATCACGCCTATAGAGTACACTGTTCGTTTCAAGCGGACGCCCGAACGACCGCACCAAAGTGGATTCTTCTCATTGGGTCTCGAGGCTTGAACGGCAGCTGGTAGCGCTCAGAGAAGCCGCGATTTTGCCCTTGGTCGCCATCGGGGTGTTCGAGACGTGTGAGAACGATAATTCCAAGCACGCTACGTGTCCGAGGCCTCGACGCTTGACGCGTGTACCGCTTGTGTGAGCCGAGCCCACACCTCTTCCGCACAAATGACTCAACTACACTCGTATTACATAGAATGTACACTCTGATAGATGTCCACTCGCTTCCGGCAACGGTAGGATTCCGAATTCCTCTGCGCGTCACAGCCTCAGTGAGACTTTGTCGACATCTCGCTTAGAATTGACGACCACAGTGCAATCGCTACGACATTTCACGGAATATTATTGCAGAGACTTCAGTAGTCCAGATGTCGATTCGTCCACTCCTAATAATTGTTGGAACTTTCGCGAGTGAATGACATGTCATGGGGCCAGCTCGTCCAGCTCTGTTGTTCTATCTCTTCGTAAGCAATCCCGTTGCGGGCCGGGCCCAACCCTTTCTTCGGCTCTGTGTCCCTCGATCCGCCGATGCCTCGCTCATTGATGGGCCCGAGGAGGCGCGGAAGATTAAATAAATAAAAAGACGGGAAATCGGGAGGACCCATCCCTGACGACAGAGGATGCCGACAGAAAGCGTCGAGCTTCACAACGCGACGGATTGACAAAAAGCTCAACTCAACATCCTAGTCGAAATGTCAAAACTGGAATCCTAACCGTTTGGCGGAAGTTCGAGTGTTGAAAGGACTCCGTGGATGAGGGGTTCTACCTCCGCCGCCGGTAGAGGTTCCCTGTCGATCTCACGGTTCCCTACTGCACTAGTCAGCACTCACTGCACTAAAGAAATGCATTTGTTGGAGACACCTAACTGGATATTAAATCAACTATCTGACTGACTAATTGACTGACTGAACGCACGTCGTTTTACACGAACCTGCTGCTCATTCCTACTCCCTGCACCTCTACTCCGCTAGCGGATAGTAACAGAATAGATATTGATGTCGTATGTATATTTTTTTTCGTGAGTCGATTCGTGTTTATAAATTAGAGATTAGAGATTCGAAAAAATTGCACTCCTATTGCACTGATTCTGTGACTGAAATCCCTAACGTGGCAATCCCCTAACGCCATCGCTATCGCGACTTTGGTCGCGTATTTCCCGTAGTGGTCGACCCACCTATCGATCGAAGATTTCCACGTCGACGTTGGAAAGAGTCGCGTCAGACCCGACCTGAAATCCCGAGCTCCAGGCACGTCTGTCTCTGTGAGTATTGACTCTGATCGCATATATGCACGCTTACCCATCGTTTACATAATTTGCTTGGTTTGTTTCATCACACGGTTGCTGTACATTCCGGTCCTACATCTTACTCTGGCTCTACCAGTATATATACCTAGATAGATTAGATGAATCTCCGCATAGGAAGATAGACAGCCAATGACATTGAGACAGACACACAGAGATGAATTAGGGAAAGATCGTTGCAGTGACAGATTTTGGTTTTGAGTATCTTCTCCACTTCTCCGTCTTCCGCCGAACAGTGGCACCGAACCTCGAATACTGATTGAAACCATTCCCGGTGCTGAATGTTCTCATCCGAAGACGCGCAACCTGCCATCGTTCGCTCGCCGATCCTGGATTCCCCGAATATCCCGAAGCTTCCCGTTCTCCTTCACTCGGGATGGAGCGGAATCGATTACTGAGGTTGTTCCCACGGTCTGCGGATGATGTTGTGTCCTTCGGGGCCGAGCTCAGTGTTTTCCTGAACTCTGCCAGCCTCCTGCTATGCTTGTCGAGCGGCTTCGAAGGCGGCTTGGAAGGCGGCTTGGTCGCCCGGTGTCATCGAGAGGGGCATGTCTTTCGAACTAGCTCCCGCATCTCCGCTGAAAACGAAAGGACAATCGGTGAGCTTCACCGATCGATTCCGCGACTCGGCCGAGCTGGATGCGACAGTCCTGGACCGCCGATCGAGCTCAAGGAGCGACAGGGAATCTCACTCACCATAGAGCTCTCATTTCCTCACGGCGCTGCTTCATGAGCATCTTGTACTCGGAAATGCGAAGCTTCTTCCCGTCGACGATACAAGTTCTCTTCGGTCTCGGTCTGTATCTGTAGTCGGGGTGTTTCTCCATGTGCAACTTCGACAGTCGTGATTGCTCCTCGTAGTAGGGTTGTTTTTCCGCATTGGTCATCGACTTCCAGCGAGCTCCGAGGATTTTCGAAATGTTCGAGTTGTGCATGTCGGGACACGCTTTGAGAATTTTTCTACGTTCGTCCTTGGCCCACACCATGAACGCGTTCATTGGTCTCTTGATGTGCTGCTTGCGGTCGACAGGATCTCGCCCCGTCCGAATGACCTTCGCTCCAAGCAAGGGATCCGACGACATTTTATCCCCGCACTCCGACGAAGAACTCTCGTAGTTCATTTCCTTCAATCCGTCCTTGAGGTCGGTGAGACCGGGAGTCAGCGACGATGCGAACAATGAGCTCTCTTTCCCGATAGCCCCGTTGCTCAGCTGGTTTTGCAGACCTCCACTGTTGAACATCGATAGGAGACCATCTGTATCAGATAAAGAGGAGTGAGTGGAGCGATATCTACGGAATGGGGGCGTCCGCTGCTCGTCTCTTTTTTCGAAACTCACTCGATGCGAAAGGTGACGACATCTGAGGTAAGCTGGCCGATGAGCTGAATGTCGGAGAGCTCGGGAAACTCATCGTTGATGGACACGAGGTATTCACGTAAGGGAGGAAGTTCTGGAAAAATTTAATTTCGTTTATTCGATGCTGGATTTTTTCCACGCGCGAGAATCGCACGGCCGTCGAACTCTCAGGTGAATCTCACCGAAAGATGCTGCAGCTGGTTCAGGTGTAGGTCACCGCCCAGAGAATCCAAACCGGCCCCCAAGGGCATTTTCGATGGTGACGGCGAACTCACGGCCACTGGAGAGACGCTGCAAGGATACCTCCGATTAATTGATGGAATCCACAGCGAGCTCGAAGAATACCGACGACCGGAGTTAGACGATGTCTCGGCCCCCTAATCTCACTGCGGGATTCTCTTGCTACTCCGACTGCTGTCACTAGTAACTCTCTCCAGTCACTCCGCTAAGCCTCGCGAACGAAGAACTCATTAAGGAGAAGAGGACCCGCTCCTAATTGCAGCCATCGGCCGCCTACAATCCGCTCCGATTAATATCTCTTCCATCCATCCGTCCGTCCATCAATTGGAATAAGATGGTCCGGCAGCCGAGGACGAGCCGTCGATTGAACCGATGATTGCGAAAGCATCCAGCAGCTCGTATCTATTCCAGCAGGGCTCGAATCCAGGGCCCTGTAGTGAACAGGCCGCGGGACTCCGCTCTCACCGCGCGTAGTGGCTGAGACTGATGAAGCGTTTCCTGTGGGAACGACCCGTCAGAAAATGGTGCCAAATGGATGTGGGCAAGGTGATCATTTTAACTCGTTCCCGGGCGAAAACAAGACAGCCCTAAGAAGGAACAAGTCAGCAACAAGGTTCACATCCTGCGCCGAGCACGAATTCACATGGGATTCGAGTGGGTTTTCATTCGAGTGGACAGAAAGACGTCTGTAACACGAGAGAGGTCTCGGGAACACGAGTAGGAGAATGGAAATAAGAGAGAAAAAAAGAAGCTCGCGCTGTTACCGAACCGCATAACAGTAACTCGAAAGAATGGAATGTCTTTGTCCGTCCCCTCCGTTCGTAGGCTCGAATGTGTGTTCTCAGCGTCGAGTGCTGTCCGACTCAAATCGAGCAGACTGATGCGACACGCTGATTAGTTTTCCATATGACCTAGGATCGGGATCTCTCTGTGGAGAAAGCGAAGGGATATTCCTCATGGGAACGGGTTGAGTCGAGATTTCGGGACACCCCGATGTTATTTTTTTCGCAGTCGCATAATTTCCAGGATCCGGTCTCTGTTTGACCGGAGGATTCCGCGATTCGGAGGGCACCGGATCGTCGGTTCAGTCACCCACTCAGCGGTTTCCGTCGGCGGGCCGGTTCGGATAGCAGACTCGGTAGGCGGGCGGGTGGGTTTGGTGTTCGAGTTGTATTCGGTCGTCGAGAGCCGGGCTCCGAGCGAAAAGTTCCGAGTCATAAAACAGAACATACGGAACAGCAACCACAATCCGAGCAACTGGATTCGATATAAAATGGCATTAAAACTCGTGTCCCTCCTGTCACGTTCCATGGCACCGGCAGATTGCAGCGGCCGCCATCGGTGTCTTCGCCGCAGGAAGAGAACCAGCGAGCTCGGCCGACTGCAGGTAGGCAGGGGATCTTTTGCTCGTAAAATATTGCCACCTTCCTCCTCCACCTGTATGAATCGATGTGCAGAAAAGGCTTCATTACAGGTAGTAAAATAGTTTATGCTTTCCAAAACGCCTCGGCGTCCGGTGCCGCCGGCTTCGTTCTGCTACGAGAGCCGCGGGTGTTATTATGTCCGTCCGGCGATGTTAAGGGATTCGGAGCCGAAACCCCCTCAGTATTTTTTCACTCGTTCCGTAGGCGCAGCCAGGGAACGAGGCAGGTATACGGGTACTCAGTCTGTGCGATTGGCGGCGTAGACTCATCTCATTCGGTCGGGCTCTCTTCCAGACTCGGAAGGCACGGCGTGAAGAGTCAAACGAGGCGGAAACGATTGCTCCTTTTGTAGGACACAGGTGGAGAAGACGAGAGCGAGAAACGCTGTATCCGTCTTTCGCTTCGTGGATGTTTCTCCTTTCTACTCTCGCAATCAGACTGCGCTACCTGACGCCTTTAGAAGACAGGCGGAAGCAGCGTGGGGGTCCAACAATGTTCTAATGGGATCGCATTAACGGAAACCGGAGTAGCATATTTCATTTGCTATTGTCACTCTTCGTTGTCCAGGAAAGGGTGAGCTCGGAAGACAGAGAACGCGCGCTAGAGGAACTGCTCCGGGAGGTACATATATCACCTTACCTCTTTTGCCTGTCGTGCTGACTGCCATTGTAAGAAAGAGGCGATTCGGCTTTTTTCGAGAGATTCAACGGAGCGTCGTCTGTTGTGGGATGAGGACTCGTCTGCAGCAGGGGAACTTCTCTCGCAGGAGGACTCGGAGAGCGAGACTTTGGCGGCGCAGCTGATTTTGAAGGTTTCGGATTGTGAGGAAGCATCCAGGGTAGCTGAAAAAGGGAAGAATGATCGATAATCCCTCCACAGCTCATCAGGAGAAAATTATTGTATTAGAGTGTCCGAGACCGCCCCCGAACCGCGAGATACCCGACTGGCCGCGTATCCAGTCTCGCAACGTCCCTCCCTAGAGGAGCAAATCCCAAGAGAGGTCCACCTGCTGGCTTTCGATCGCAGTTATTTCTGTCGCCGGCGGGCCGACGAGCGATGCCGATTGAAAATTCACGGATTTTCACGATTTCGGCTCGAGTTTCTTCCCGCTCCGCGCCGTAGTAGATCTGGTAATTGTGTTAGCAGTAACGAATCAGCTCCACTCGCATTCAGAGTCAGAGAAAAATTTAATTACTGCTCTTCGGCGAGCTACGGCGGCGGTAGCGGTTGCTCGACTGGCGCAGTTCGCTTCATGCTCTGAATTCAGCTTAACGATTGAGAATTTATCTTTTTTTCTTTCTCGTTTCTTCTCCTTCTTTCGTGCGCGCGCTCTCGGCCCTAGGAGATACCAAGAGCGGTTCGATTGCGTATTCTACTTCAATTTCCACGTCTCTAGCTAAAAAGCGGTCCGATTGTCATAAAAATCTTGCTTCTGTTCTTAAGTACAGCGACAGACAGACTCCGCGGGACGATTCGATGGAGACGAGGAGAGACTTCAACGAGGGTCGTCCGGGGCAGAACACTCGACGGAACCAAGAGTATGGAGATTCTCATGGTCGGCTGATTGAGGGCATGTCAATCGGGGGAATCCTTCATCTCCAAATCAGGAGCGAGTTGTAGTTTTCCGAGAATGTGTTCAATTAAAACATCGGCGTCAGCATTGGCGTCAGCCGGGCGGGACGAGCTTAACGAGGTGGCGATATCAACGCCGCTCATTATGATTTCATTTTAAGAATAAGTCGTGCATCACACCTTTTTTTCCATGATCAATCATCGCGAAAATGTACACATTGCCGCATCGTGGAGAATGCAGGCAAGAAAAAGCGAGAAAAATTATTCGCTGACGATAACCTATCGTTGCACGCCCGCCCGCCTATCTCCGTCCCTACCCGTCCCTTGTTGTTAACCCCAATCGACCGCGGCTTTCGGGATACACTCCGAACGAAGCTCGGTTTCGAGCATCGGCCGGCCGGACACTGCGTGTCCGATCGGGCTTTACATCTATTTCTGATTCGACCGACGCGCGCCACCGCAAAAGCAATCGCCATATTCTCATCGGCTGTTGGACTCGCTCGCTTGTGAGATGATTTAACGCTTCGAAATGAAAATGATCCCCTCCCTGCCTTTACTTTTCGAGCAGTCAGTCGACGGCCGAGTAGACGGACGGTACTGTCGGTAGGCAGCGCACATCGCACACACACACACACGCTCACACTGACAGTCGTACGCCGTCGGATATGGATACCGAAATGGAGTTGTGTATTCGAAAAATGATGTCTTCATCGTGCGCAACATCTCTCAACGCCTTCGTGCGAGCTGTTCATCATCGCAAGCTAATTTGTGGATTGAGAGGATTTTTTTCTTCAAAATTATTAGGCGAGAGGGAAGACGATGAATATCCATGCGAGTCTCGCCAGGTTTCCATTCGCTGACGATCGCCATTCACAGATTCAAACAGAGGGCAGGACGATGGCAACGGGACGTCATGGGATCAGGTAGAAGAGAAAAAGCGGAAAATTTCTTCTGGCATTGTCTTAATGGTCTGGTTAGTCAACGCGAGTGGTATCACGGAGTAAGGCGCATCGCGGGCTCACGGTAACTCACTCTCTCGTTCGAAGAGTCCGTCATCAGTATTATGATAATGGCAGGAGACTTGATAATGAGTAAATGAAGGCTAATTTCATTAGTCTACCGCAGACTGAATGCAGGCTTCACCATAAATCAGCCTGAAGACGACGACGACAACAATCAAACTCTCAAGCATTTTCTTGTTTTCTCTCGTATGGGCTCTCTGCGTGACCTTACGACGCGTAACGCCCCAGTCGGTTTCTTTTCTCTGTAGCCAGACGATCGTGATAATACCGTGTCTTCTCCGGTGTTATTTTATTCGATAATAAGAATTTAATTTTCCGTACTCCCGTAGATTCTCTCGTTTCTCATTCTCCCCGTAGTCTTCGTTTTCTGTCGGGGACATGTGCCTACGAGGCATATCGCTGT